GTTCTGTGGTTCTGTGGTTCTGTGGGTCTGTGGGTCTGTGGTTCTGTGGGTCTGTGGGTCTGTGGTTCTGTGTTTCTGTGATTCTGTGGGTCTGTGGTTCTGTGGGTCTGTGGGTCTGTGATTCTGTGGGTCTGTGGGTCTGTGAGTCTGTTGGTCTGTGATTCTGTGGGTCTGTGGGTCTCTGGGTCTCTGGGTCTCTTGCCGCAGTGGTTCCCCCAGCAGGGGTTTGGCCGGGCGCTGTGGGAGCACTGGGCAGAGGGGCTGGCAAGGACTGGGTTGGGCAGCAGAGACCAGCCCGGGCACCCGGGTCCCATCCAGCTGCTGGAGACACCAGTGGGTGCTGGGGCAAGGGAGGTGCTGGACCTGCCTTTGGTGCACGCGGCGCAGTTTGGAGACTTCCGGTCGACGGCCGTGGTGCTGTGAGACTACCTCCTCCATTCATCCCCTTTGTGCAGTTCCAGATCTCAAATCTCTATCAAGTCTCCTCCTCTCCCAGCTGTGCCCCTCAGCCTTCTCCCCTGCCCGGGCCGTGTCCCTGCGGGGCTGGGTGAGCAGACCTGCACCTCCAGCCACCCGAAAAGGTGTGGGAACAGCTTAGACTGACATGGTGCCCGGTCCTGTTCCCTAATCTTCTCCTCACTTCTCCTCACGCTGCATCTTATCGTCTTTGGCACCTGCTACACGGGGATGAGGGGTTTTACAAGTTGTCTGTTGGCACAATAAGCTCCCTGGGTGATCTTCCTCCCTTTTCCTCTCTCTTAGCCACTCATTTACCCCAGTGAGGATCTTCCTCCCTGGCCTGTGGCAGCTTGTCTCCTGCAAGCTGTGACGAAGACCTTTCTCCACTGACCAGGAGATGTCCAACACCCACATCTTGTTGACTCCTTCAGAAACTGTATTTCTGAGGTGTCATTTTCCCGTGCAACAGTTGGATTTGGTGTCCCTTGCGGCGTACTTTGTCCATACTTCAACCAGGTCTGTCACTTATTGCAGCTTTTTTTTAGCATCTACCCACCCTACATAGTAGATCTACTTGTCTGAAGTCTCTTTACCTCTGACAGCCTCTGTCAAAGCCAGCACATTTGCTTCTTCCAGTCATTTTCTAGAGTTAAAATCCTGCTCCCGGTGCCTTTGAAGAAAGGAATATGTGGAAGTGCAGATGACATTCCTCCGAGTAGAGGAGCGAGGGGCCAGATCCTGGTGTCATCGTTACCTGACGTTGTTGACAGTGAATGTACCAGGGGTCAGTTTGTTCCTTCATCTGGATGCAGCTTCAGCAAGTTTAAGAGCCTTTATCTTACCTCTGATCAGCTCTTTTAAACTGATTTAATTGTGCTGGCTCCCATTTAGGCTTTCCCTTTGTAACATCATTTAGGGCTTGTGTTTGCTAACATCAGCTTAAGCGCTCAGAGTGAAGCTAAGCTGGTCTTCCCAGACAATCTCCGTGCCATATGTGATATTTAATCCTCTTGACTTTCCTTTTTTTCCCCTTTTTAAAATAAAAAGAAGCTGTACCAGATTGTCTCTGGTTCGAAGCACAGCGCTGGCGGTCACAAAAATGGCATTTTGATTTCAGTCCGTGAGCCAGGTCCCACTTGCTGTGCAGGACCCGTGAGCTCTTGGCCACCCCAAAAACCTGAGTCCCCTGGTGCCCATCCAGCCCTCCTGAAGCATCCTGTGTCAGAGGCTCCTGGGTGTCCCTTTGCAGGCAATGGTGCCAGCAGTGTCACCAGGTGATGATGGAGTCACTCCATTGTGCAGCCATCAGGTCTTTTTCCATCTGTCATGGACCATGGGGAGTGAGACCACCGGGTTCCCCAAAGCGTCACTGGACGTGGGACTTCGGGTGCAAGCCCAGCTGAGCTCTTCCCACCCTCCAGCCTTGGGGACAGCCCTTGCTGGGGTCTGGGCAACGGACATTGGCTCTCGACAGGCATAAGTCAACTGAAGGGAGTGGAACATCTCCCTGATGAGAAAGGCTGAAGGAGCTGGGTCTCTTTGGTTTGGGGAAGGGGAGACTGAGGGGTGACCTCATAAATGTTTATAAATATGTCAAGGCGGA